TATGAATGAATTTTTGCGTGTAATTTTTGAATGACAAAATTTAATTTAATTATAAAAACACAACAGAAATAAAAACAAACGCACATACACAATGCAATATAATAAACATCGATTTATAAAATTTATTTATTTTTTTATATAACAAAATTTATTTTTCCTATTCAAAACACTTATTTTTATAAATAGAAATTAAAGCTTTCAGATTTGTAATGAATTATCGAATGAATGAACTCGAATAAATTATCAGTTAGCACCCATGCAAACTTTCAGCAGTTCTTTTCGACTCTTTCATACTGATACTATCAGTTGATTTTGATAAATTCGATTTAGATACAAATCAGATCCTAGCATCAAATACTGCTATCTGTTGCCATTATCAGAATCATTCGCGTTGTATTTCTAATCGAGATCGTAACTCTGAAAAGTTTATCTGATGTCCTTCATTTGTAACCGAAATTTGAACTATAAGAGTTAGTTGAATTAACAAAACTAATATAGAGACTCAACAAAAAAATTATGTTACTTTAGCTAGGTATTATATTAGTTAGGTAGGTTCTTTAAGAGTATATTACTTAGCTCACTTTCATTTTAGTGACAATTCAGAGTTTGAATTACGAGATAGGTCAACATTATATGGAACAATGGTCAAAATTTTCAGAAGTACAAGAATCAAAAATTACTTTCTTGACCCAAACATTTAGCTGCACATTCTTCAAAGGTCAAGAAACTGTTTTCGTTTCCTCCCAGACCAGAATAGATAAAAGGTACACACTGTTGCAAGGCTGCATTGTAATATACTCTTCTAATATGTTCAAATCCATGCCCAATTTGAACTGGAAGACTGCATGGAGACATCAGTGCTGTAATTTGCATAATTCAATCAATAATATAAAATTGAATCAATGCACAATGCTAAAATTATCTTTTGTATTTATTTTAATCTCTTAGCAAGTATTTCTGTCAAAAATACAAAACTTGATATTGGCATGACAAATTTATGATAAATTTATTAGCTTCCAAAAACAGAATTAATAAAATTATATAATCTAAAAATATGCGTAAAGAGAAAACTTTGGAAAAATGATCATTTTAATTGAAATTTTATACAAAATCTTTATTAATTAGTTTTCGAAATAAATTCAAGTGATAGAAAACTTTTACAGTTACTTGTAATTTGGCAGCAAACAGTTGTCGACAAGTCTGCACCAAAATGACAAAAATAATTGGAAGGACAAGGATTTGTTAATGAGCATATTAGATTGGTACCATCTTGAGACTGTATGGGTAATCCTATAGGACAAATATTTTGGTGAGATACTGAAGCTCGTACTGCGGTCGGAGGGCTTTCTATAAAGACTTTTGTAATCATTATTAATACAAACTTTGATCTCAACCTCATTGAGATCTCAAGCTCTAATTTGGAAAATATTCCTCAGAAAAAATTTTCGATTATTCAAAAAATCAATAAATCTAAGAATATTCTTAAATTTAAGTAAGCAAGAAAAATTGGTCTTACCTGGACATTGCTTTGTGCATTGACTACGTGTTAAAAAGTTATTTTGATTACCACCAATGCCAGCATATTGAAAAGGCTTACAGGAACCAGAAATTTTGTCATAAAACCACCGAGTATATGGTCCATTTTCAGTAATAATTCCTTGTGATAATGGTAATTGACAAGGATTAGAAGCTAAAAAGTACTAGAAATATTGATACAAATTATTAAACATTAGTACAAATTAAAATCTATCTGAGCCTTTTGTAAAAAAATTCAAATTATTTCATTTACCTCCTGGACAGCAAACTGTCGTTTCAGAATCACCACCAATATGACACCAGAAATTTAGTGGACATGAATAAGCATTCCGAGCATTACACTTTATTAAAGTAACAAAACTACTTGTTACAACACCAATATCATTTAGAGGACATGGATTTCGAAGAACTAAAATCTTTCACAAATTGAGCATTTTTATAAACTTATTTAAACCTCGAAAAAAGTTTTAAGAGTTTTTTATGAGTTTGAAATTTAAGTTTAGAATATTTAATTGGTCACGAAGTTACTAGATTAAGGTAGCAAACTGACTTGGACATTTTCGTTCGCATGCTTCGATGGTCAAAAAGTTATTCTCATTACCACCAAGGCCAGTATAAAGAAATTGATGGCACTGTCGAGAGTTTTGATCGAAATACCATCTTTAAAAGTATAAGTAAGAAATAAGTATGGTCAAGAGTAGTCAAAAGTTATGAAGATAATTGAACGAAGTAGATATATAATTAATGAAATTTTTAAAAAAGTATCTGAATGCCTTGTTAAAGAAGAAGTTCCGGTTCCTGGTACCAGTGGTGCCAAACAAGGCTCACCAAAACTTGGACAACAAACTGAAGTTTCCGGTGTAGCTCCAATATTGCAAAAATAAGACTGTGGACAAACAGAATGTAATTCAGAGCATTGCAAAATGTTTCCATCTGAAGATTCAGCTGGATCACCTGTTGAACACGGATTTCTGCAATGATTACAAATATTTCAAACAAAAACTTAATTTTTCAGTAGATAGTGATTAATTGAATTCTTTTTTACTTAATCCAGGACACCAATTTTAAATAAGTATCATAAAGTGTATGATCAGAATTTGCAAAATATTTGATAATAAAATAATAAAAGTTCAATAAAAACGTATATTTATAAATTACTACTTATATTTATTGATTACTAATAGGTACTAAAAATTAACTTATATATTTCAATTTCTTTGCTGACAGTATTTTTGATAATTATAATTTTATATAATTTAAATCAGAAATCACTCTTGTTCAGGGCATTTTTCCTGGCACTCTTGTATAGTTTGGAAATTGTTTTGGTTTCCACCATAACCAGTATAGGTGAATGTAACACACTGACGTAAACGTCGATCATAATACCAGCGTGGAATTGCTAAGCTACCAGAGCCTTCCATAAGTGATAAAGTACACGGATTTTGAGCTTAAAAAGGAACAATTAATGTAAATATAACACAATAAAATTTAGTCTGTCAAAAAATAAAAATAAAAATACTTTTGTCATTTAAAAAAATTGATTTTTTTTCTTGGAAATAATTAAGTAAATATAATTTTTGATTAAAATAAACCTCCTGGACAGCAAAGAGAGGCAGCAATATCAGCTCCAACATGACACCAATATCCAATAGGGCAAATGTTAGGTCCACTCGCTGAACAAATCAAATACTGACCATCATTTCCTGCTGCTGGTTCACCCATTGCACATGGGTTGGAAACTACTAAAAATTGCAACCAAATAATCAAAAAATATTATTTAATTAATGATTTTTTCTTTTTGAGATCATGTAAAGTAGTATTTTATTCAAAATACTTTTCATCAAAGTAATAAAACTCAAATAGGAAAAAAGAAAACTTTTTTACAAGCCAATAACCAAATCAAAAATTAAAATTTTGACCTCTAGAACTGCAGAAACGAAATGAGAAATTGAAAAGTGAAAAACTAAAAATTAAAAAAGTAACTTATTTACGATATTTTCAATAAATACTTTATATGACCTTAAAACTAATTTACAATGCTTTATTTTTTTGGATAAAACTGACCAGAATTGTAATGTATGGTCAGTCATGAATACACTTTGACTTTTAAAAACTGACCAAATTATACCTAAGACGAATAAGTTTGCAAAAAAAAAAATCGGTCAATTAAATTTATAAATTTGATAGAGCATAGCAAACCAGAACAAGCAGCTTCACAACTTGCTCTCGATAAGAAATTATTTTCATTTCCACCTAATCCAGTATAAATGAAAGGTAAGCATTGTCTAGTTAAGGGCGCAAATGCATAACGACTCAAGTGCGCCCTACCAGTACCAGGTACTCTTGGCTCATTACAAACATTTTTTGATTTTCCTGGACAACAAACTGTTGTCTGCTCTGTGTCCCCAATATGACAGAAGTAATCCGCGTCACATACACTGTAATTTGTTAAGTAAGTTTCAGACTTGATCAAATACTTGTACATTCAATAATTATTACAATTGTGTTCAAAATTTGATATTATATACATTGCGTAGCATTTTACATTATTTTACAAAGTTTTGTACTTATACAAACTATTAAAATTACAAAAACTACATTGAGAACTGATTTTATTATATAGAAAGTAACTAACTTAGTAGCAGCCGCACTGCATCCAACGGGATTTTGTTGTTCATCTAATTGAGGCTGTCCAAGTCCACATGGATTAGGCAAGACTGGAAATTATAACTGCCATTTTATTGATATAAAAATGAAAGATAGATATATATTATTATTTACTTTCGATAAATTCATTAGCATTACGGTATTATAAAATAAGAATTTCGGTAAAGAAAGCAAATTTTTACCTGGACAACGTGCTTCACAATCTCGTAATGTTAAAAAGTTATTCTCATTTCCTCCAAAGCCAGAATATTGAAACTGTTGACACGTACGTGTTTCTGAATCATAATAAAATCTTACCAAAGTTGAATAACCATCGCCTATTTCAAGTTCTTTTTCACATGGTATTCCACTGCCAGGACAGCAAACCTAAATTATATTACTTCAAAACTTGCATCAACGATAAAATACAATTTGAAAGTTTTACATTCGAAACTACTCATTGTGAAGGTACCTAATTTTTTTCTGACTTCCAAGATTTTTAAAAATTTTTCACTTTTTATATAACAAATATTACAAACCGAATTTTCTAATGTTGCCCCAATATGGCACCAATAAGTTGTAGGACATATGGATGGTCCTGTAGCACCACAATGTGTAATTTGTCCATTTAAACCAATGTGTGGTTGTCCAGTAGAACAAGGATTTCTAGAACCCATCAAAAATATTTGAAATTAAAAAAAAATAAAAAATGAAAAAAAAGCTAAAAAAATTAAAAAGAGAGAAAATAGCAAAATTTAGTGCATATAAAACAATTGTGAAAAGCATGAATTTTTGTAGAAATATTTTGTAGTTTTAAAATATTTTTTTTCAATTTTTGGCTATAATAAAAAGTTTTATTGCTTTTTTTTGTGATATACAAAAACTTTTTACAAAAAATTTGCATAAAAACCTTATTTATAATATTAAAATTTTTAACATAAATGACTTTTTGTGAATAATTATCCTTCATTTTTGCATATTATGCAAGATAATATGTTACCTAAATTCTGGACATGCTTGTGAGCATTCTTTGTGTGTTTGAAAATTGTTTGCATTACCACCTCGGCCAGTATAAACAAAAGTAACACAAATTTGTGATTGCATATTGAAGTACCACCGATTTAAAACCATATTCCCGCTTCCAGCAGATAAAGGCATACGGCATGGATCACCAACTGAATTTTTACAAAAATGTGATCAAAAAATATATATATATATAATCAATAAAATAATCAAAAAATATGAAAAAATTTTTGACATTTCAAATTTCAAATTTTTTAAACTTTTCAAGTTTAATAAAAATTGTCAACAGTATAATTTTTAAACATATTTTTTACTTTTTAATCAATAAGTATACATTGAGTAAATATTAACTTGTTGGACAACAAACTGTTGTTGAAGATGTTGCACCAATATGACAGTAATAACCAGCGCCACAAATTGTAGCTGTCTTATCTCCACATTGTAAGGCAATACCTTCTGGACCAATGGCAGGAAATCCATTTTCACACGGATTTTCTATGATTGGGCATGCTTCTTCACAGTCTGATTTTGACAAGAAATTATTCTAAAATTAATTTTAATAAATAATTAAATTAACTAAAATAATGCGACAATTAAACAAGTATATTATTAGTTTTAGTATTAAAGCTGTTGAAATTTATAATTCATGTCATTACTTTAAGCAAAGATTTTTGCTTTTTAAGCTTATCAAAATAAACTTTCAGAGAATTCAGTGCCTCAAATAATAGGAATAAGCGGGAAAGACAGTACTGTTAATAGTAATTTTATTAAATATATGCATTTTTTTAAACACAAAACCTGATTTCCGCCTTTTCCAGAATAAATAAATTGATCACAAGTTCTTGTTCTACCATTGAAATAGTATCGTAATAATTTTGCCTGACCTCTGCCCTGTAAAAGTGGCTGGAAGCATTTCACTGAAGTACTTGATAAGGCATCATTGTATTCGTTATCATGATCAATATTTGCATCTTGAGCGGGTGCATCAAATTTTTGCATCATATTTATACGTTGAAAATTTGCCATTGGTTTTGTTAGAAATGCAAATGACGATGATGCTGCATTGAAATTTTCTGCTAAAAAACTATAATATTAATTTCAAAAAGTTTGAAAGTTTTATTTAAATATAATTAATTAGGCAAAAAACTAATTAACAGGATATTTTTCGAACAATAATTAGCTATAATAACAGACTAAATTAAAGTTTTAAAAAAAAAAAAACTTACACGATGGGCAACAAACTGACGTTTGGCGTCGATCACCTACGTGGCACCAATAATTTGTAGGACATAATGGATAACTGGCAGTACAAAATGCAACGCTTCCATCATTTTCGTTGATATATGGAATCCCAAATAAGCAAGGATTATCATATTCTAGAAAGGTTTCAATTCAGATTAATTATTCGTTTTCATAATTTTTGAATACAATAATGATACTACACTATTTATTTAGACAAATATTAAAGTTGATCAAATTAAAGCTTAATTTTGAATATGCAAATTATTAGTATAACTTCAATTTGTACCTGGACAAGTGGTACGACATTCTTGAATAGTTTCAAAGTTATTATCGTTACCATTAAAACCGGCAAAAGTAAATGACCGACAGAGTGATGCTTCAGTATCGAAGTAATACCGTGGCAAAGCGAAACTCCCAGTACCTGTTGCAAGAGGTAGCAAACAACGATTTTTTGCTGAAATTTATCATATAGTTAATTTAGACGTTTCGAATGACGCCCATTTATCTTAATATTATTTGCAAGTGCTAAGAATAATTATTTCAAACTTTCACTTAATAAAGTAAAAAAGAAACGTAAAAGTAGCCAACAAACAAACTTACGTGTAGAAGAATCAGTTGAGATTATCATTGCAATCGGATTTTCAGTGACGTTAAGCAAGAAAGTAGGACTGATTGCTGTATTGGATAATACAGTACCACTAGGGAGTCGTGAGAAAGAATTAGCAAAATTGTTCATACCATTTAAATTAGGAAAAGCAAGTGCGGAATTTGCTTGTGAACCAATCTGGCCAGTATAAATACGTGTTCGTAAATTGTTACCATTATACCGACTCATAGCTCTTGAACTAACTTGTCCATTGGGAATAGCTACACTTTCAGGATATCCAAGAGACTTAATATTATTATTGATCGCAACGTTAGCATTATTTGCACCAAAAATTTGATTTTGAATGCTACCATTATTACCAGCAATATTCATGCCATACGTATTACCAAAACCAGAATTTCCAAATTCTACCAAACTAACTGGTGAAACGCTAGTATTGGGTATTGTCTGATCTGATCCTGGACAGCAAATAGATTTTGTCACATCTTCCAAAATCTGACAGTAAGTGCCTAATGGACAAGACTGAATGTTGTCGGGTGAACACCTCAAACATAATCGTTATTACTTTTTAATTAATCTTACTAAAATTTTAAAATATTTACCAAATTTTGTATCAAATTTGATTTGACTACTAAATGTTCATTTATAAATTATACTGAGTTTGTGCATCAGTAGGTATTTGCGGTTCACCGTTCTTGCATGGATTTATTGCACCGCAACTTTGTTGGCACGCTCGAAAGGTGAGAAAGTTGTTTTGGTTTCCCTGAAAAAAATTAATATTCAAAAAATTTCAAGCAAAAATTTGAATTTTTGGTATTTTCATTAATTGACTTTATTTTTGAAAATTTTCCAAAATTTTCAGCTTCTTTAAAATATATGTTATAATCAGTTTCCATGTTACAACCATTATCACTATTATTGTTCAAATGTGATTTTATCACTTATTTTAGTTTTTTTCTTTTTTAAAAACAGCTGATGTACCTTAAAACCATTGAAAAAAAACGTTGTGCAGTGATTATCGTAAGCGTCATAATACCATCGGCTTAGTCTAACATTACCAATACCAGGCTTTACAGGTTGTAAACACGGATTTTCATCTTTAAAATATAAATAATTTAGATAGCAAAAAAATAATAATAATATACTAAAAATATATGAAAATGTATTTAAAAAATAGTAATATTAACATTATATTTATATTTTAATAATATTTAAATATAAATTTATTTTTTTTAATTTTTTTATTATTACTTCTGAAAATTATAAATTATAACAAAAAGTCGAAGGAAAGTTTCAAACTGTTAAAAATGACTCAAAACTGAAATTTAGCACAATTATTTGCTTGAAAAAATTTCGTTTTCATTTTTTTATAAGTTAACAATGCAAATCGTAACCTTAAAATATTGCTACAATTGAGCAATTTGCAATTTTTTTTAAGAAAATAATTGTAAAAACTACAAGAATAAGCGCACTAATAATGGGACAGCAGAAGGTGTTCTGAATTCCTGCACCAATCTGACAGAATGTACCACGTGGGCAGAGAAGTGAATCACTTGGAGAACAGTACTGAATGTGAAAATCATTTGGTAGTACTTGAAGACATGGATCGAGAACAGTCTCAGTACTGTTTCTAATGATTACTCCATCCTTCGATAAATCTACTTTTAATTTATCGGACAAAACCTAAATTACAGCTTTTTATAAAAAATAAATAATAATCGAAATTGACCTTTGAACTTCAGAAAATTAACTGATTATGATATCTAATCAATCTAACTCTGATTTTGTGATTCAAGTAGAAAAGCGAAACTCTAAATTTTGGTAGCACAAATTAATTGAAAGAATAATAGAAAAAAAATTTCTAACATTTTGAACATTTAAATTGCTAACAGGTAAGATCATTTGTTTTTCAGAAATATCGCGATTGCTCAGTGATAATGCTGAAATAATGAACAAATTTTTAAAACAGTAATGCGCATGAAACTGTTGGACAATTATTAGGTGATTAAAGTCATTGATATTTTTAAAGTTTGTTTGTTAAGGTCCAGATCAACCTTTCAGTTGTTAAGATCTAGAATGACCTTTCATGATTTGTTATTTGAGTCCAGATTAACCTTTCATTATTTGAATAAAATATATATTATTACAAAAGTATCAAGCAGTACCATTTGAGGGTTTTGCAAGAGCTTGGTTGGATGATAAGTTCCAGCTTGGTACTGTAGTAGATGTGAGCTCAAAACTGACTTCTACTGGTTTTGGTAGCAGTATTGTAGCTAAAATAGTATCAATCATGACTTTAAATTGAAATCCATAATAAAGACGATACTGTACTGAGAATATTTCTGCTTTAAAGTTATTATAAAGGAAATTTTTTGAATTCCTGATGAACAAAACTATACTATGCTTACCTTCGATAGAATTAGGTGGCTTCGGTGTCACTGAAACTGTAAACTGCCTGAGTTTTGAATAATTAACTGCAAAACTGGTTGACAAGGTAGATATATTTGTTACTGTAACGGCAAGCATTTCAGGACTTACAGGCAATAAAGTAGGAGTGATGATTGTATTTAATATTGTTGAAGTAATAGTTCCTGTAGATAAAATAATTTATAGATAATCATTATTTTTAGTTTCTAAAAAATTTTGAAGCATATTATAAAATAAAACAAAAATAGCAAAATGAAGCTATTAACAGCAGTTAATTTATATAATAAATAATTTGGTACCGTAATTTATGCATGTTTCTGAGCATTGCTTATGCGTAAGAAAACGATTGTCATTTCCAGCAATGCCACTGTAAACAAATTGTTTACAAGCATTGTTTTGCGCATCGTAATAAAATCGAGGGATTTTATATGGACCAGAGCCATGCGCAACAATTAACGAACAAATATTACTATCTTTGCTGTTACCTAAATTAGCATATCTGATATCTTTATTAAAATTTTTTGTTTGAATTTTTCAGATTTGATTTAACTGTCTTTAAAAGTTCACAATTAGGTTATTCAATTTAGGTTTAATTTTTGGTTTAATATATACTGCTAGTATTTAGACATGAAAAATCAAATATTGATACTGCTGAGGCTAATTCACTTTATTTCTACACTTATTTTATTTGTCATTTTTGTTAAAAATTCTTCAAGATTTATGTGGATCAAATTTGCATATTTTGCAAGATCAAATTTGCATATTCTGCAAGATCAAAATTCTTTACTATGTCATCTATTTTAAGCTTTCTATTGTGTGTACTTATTGTTATGTTTGCTAATTTGTGAATAAAATTAAATTAAATCCTTTTTTGGCCTAATTTTTAAAAAATTAATTTTTGAAAGCAAATATTTCATGTGATTCAAACAAACTTCTTCAGTAGATGACAGCATTTCGTCTAATGAATTTTAATTTTTATTTGATTCTTATTTTTTTTGTTGCAAAATTTGATTTCTAAATGAGTTTAACAAAAACTAACCTATCCCACAAGCATCTAAACATAAGCGATCACTTTCAAAATTATTTGCATTTCCACCTGAACCTAAAAAATTGAATCGTATGCAAGTACCAGCAGCCATATCGTAGTACCATCTGTAAAAGTAACACAATTTGTGTTAAATTAAGAAGCTTTGTTTAGAACTACTTTGTCAAGCTATGATCATAATATGTTTTTCTAACTAATATTTTCTTGATAACTTTTGGAAATAAGTAAACATAGTTCACAGATGTGATTAAGATGGATTTCCAATTCTAAAGGTTGCATCAAGTTGGTGGGAAAAAGTTACCGAAAGGATGAGGGATTTCCAACAACACTAAATCCTCTGTCTGGTATTAGCTCACACGGATTTAGATCAGTATCTGAAGAATTTGCATTTTTTGATAAAAACAGATTGATAAAATAGTACTTATCTCTTATACCTATAGCGTAACGAACAAAAAGTAAATATTTTTCAGTAAAAAGATTTTAAAAATTAGTATTTTTGAATTTAATTATATTTGAAAACCTTTCGTTAAAAAATATCAAGCGATTTGAGGATATAATATTTTTTAAACTTACGTCATTTGTATGAAAGCTAAGCCTACTAAGCGATGCAAGTGAAAGTCAAGCAAAAGTAAAAGTCATATAATAAGAATGTCAAGTAAGCTTTCCTTCTTTAGCACAAACCTTAGTGTATTGATTTTTATATCAAATCAATACACTCTCTTTAAAATTATAATTATTTGTAAATTAATAATTTGAGTGGTACCTTGAGCATTGTTGTGAAATATACCAGTGGATGTAGCATGGCTACCATTACTGATTTTACCAGCAAGGGAACTGTACCCTAACGGTGGCTTGGGTGGTTTGGTACCTGAAATATGTTTTAACATAAATGCTAGAATTTTAGAGAATGTCTAGATGAAAATTTAGAAAAAAAAACCTCTTCCATTTATGGTAGAAAGCTGATAAATTTGAAAAATAAACAGTCTAACAAAACTTCTAAAGTACCAAATAGAAACGATTAGTTGGAGAAATTGGATTAAATTTGATTTTAATATATTGAGAGAATAATAAATTGTGAATAAAAGAAACATTACCAAAGCATTGTTTTTCACATTCTAATTTTGTCAAAAAGTTATTCTCATTCCCGCCAAATCCTGCATAAGTCAACTGCTTACAAGAGGAACTTCTCCAATCGTACCAAAATCTTGCAATATTTGCATACCCGAAACCATTTGCAGGTGCCAAGTGACAAAGTTCTTTAACTGAAAATTAATAAATTTTGCTTATTACAAAATCTAAATTGTAAAATAAGTGTGGACATAACTTTATTTTTATACTATTTATAAAAATTAATATTTCATTTGAGGAGCTTTTGAGTTAAACAAAACATTGATTACAATTGTTTAAACATGCTTATCATGATTTTCAAGCTGAACTCTCTGTATCAACGACATGACACCAAAGGTTTAAATTGTACCACCTACATGACACCAAAGGTTTAAATTGTACTACCGACATGACACCAGAATTTTCGATTTTTGTATAATTTTAAATTTATCATCAATTATATAGTGAGAGTTTTTTAGAAAAAAGTTGAGTATAGAACCTTTACGACTTTTTGGACAACAATAAAATGAATCCTGTGTACCACCGACATGACACCAAAATTTCTGAGGACAAGACATGTCGTGATCAGAATTTCCATGCGGTATGCATCTTTTTAATGAATCGTTTGCCAACAATAATGGTATTCCTTCCTCGCAGTACAATGAAATATCTATTTACTTGTTTAATTAAAATTAGTAAAATGGTTATTAATTCCTGAGGTGTAATTTAAAGGTTTTGAAATGTGGTATCTTTCCTTTTCAAATGTTACTTCTGAGCTGAACTTTGTTGTTTGTTAAACTTCAGCCTAATTTTTTAAGCACTTAACCTTTGATCTCAAAACTTTTTATCAAACTAATAATAGAAATGATTATGACAAAAATAAATCTCAATAAAATTATTGGCAAAAATTAGCGTTATTTTTTGAGTATTTAGTTTTTTGAACAAAAAGAAATTCAGACTATTTTTCTTTTCAGGTTTGTTTGAAATTCAAACAAATTGCGT